TACCCGGTATCGGCGAAAACTTCTCCATAGACACTTTCTCCGCGCTGGTTCTAGCAATTATCCAACACAAAGTATAGATAGACCACATACACACTCACGTATACAACCATACCATGAGTGCAATTAAAATTCGGACAATAAAATTTAATTACAAGGCTCATGCACACGCGAGTGTATAATAACACAACGCATGCAGAGGAGAGTAAGAAAGAGAGAGGAGACGGAAAAAGAGTATTATATTAATGCACAAATCATCGGTTCTACTTTTAGGCTCTCATTAAAATCGGCCCGAGCACATTACCCACATAATAAACAGTTTTTTTTTATTATTTCACCTAACACTCGTACGATATACCACGAGAGTATAATGTATGTATGTATTACTAGCAACGTTGAGAGATCCGAGCGTAATTTATCGCCGTAGAATCGTAAATCTGTCGCGAGCATTCGTATATTTTTCACTCTGCACTTTGTTCCTCTACCTATATACCGCCGCGCGAGGCAAACTCTTTTCTCTGGTCTTATCGTGCATATTTATTATGGGAGGCCATAACTCAAGAATCAAGAAAACGTTGAATGATTTTTAATCACCGAAATCATAATGGTCCTCTCGTGATCGAGGATTTTAGCACTTGTGTAGCTATAGCTTTGCCGAGGAATCGCGCCGAGTGCGCCGAGTTCGCGTTTCCGCAACGTAATTCGTGGGCAATAAAAAGCCTCTGCTCGGCTTATATACAGCGCAATGTTTTATATTTATGAGTCGGCTATGTGCACTCGTCCCCCCTCTCCCTCTTTTTTTATACGGTCTGCCTCGGGTAATTGAACGAAGGAATCTATGCGATTTATGGAGTTCCGCATTCGCCTCGTTTGCCATGGACAATTGTCGATCGAAAAATCTTATCAAGCTGTAGGAGAGGGTTAAAAAAGTATGCACCGACAGTCCATCGACTCAGCGTGAAAAATCATAGAATGAATTGATTGATTTTTTTTCATTTCGTAGGAGCTATACACGCACTTTACGACAGTCTCGAGGTATACAAACGCGGATCGTAAAGTCTAACATGTTTCGCGGCCCAGTTTTATTTCTTTATTGCTAATGTGACTGGGACTAATATAATAAATATTCTTGGAACGAGTTTTTCACCATTGACTAAAAATGTCGCGTACATTCGAATAATATAAACTTGCGAGACTCTCCGCGGGTGGCAAATATGAAAACCCGATCAAATTTTCATTTCATTTCGGGTTAATAAATAATGTTCAGTCGTAATTTGACGTCAATGAGATTGTAGACAAGAAAATGATAGGGAAAAATAATTTTTCATTTGGAGACAGTATTTGTAGTTCAACCTGGTTTTTAAGACATTTTTATTGTCTAAATAAGTTCGCAAAAGAACGATTATGCTAAGATTTGTCAATTGAATCAAACTTTTACAAAATACGGTTATAAGCGTAACTAAAATAAACTTAATTAATAACGTAATTACAATGATATTGTACATTTGTTGTTAAAATAAGACATAGCCTGTAACATATGATTCCGCTCAGTTACTTAAAATCTCGTGAAATTTGATACAAAGCCATTAAATAAGATACCACGTGTCTTAAAATCTGTAAAACAATAAAATCTTTAGTTTTAAACATTTAAAACATGATTAACTTGCTTACATGCGTAGAAGTTTCATAACTCATTGGTATCGTTGGACCAGCAGTTAATACATAAGGTTTTGAAGATCTGATCATCATTAGAAGAATCAATTTTCTTTCTTTTGCACGAAACATGTGCCACTTACAGCTGCAGCTAAATATTTTTTTAATTTTCCTTAGACATTCATCAATAATTTAAGTACATACAAATTTAAAACGTTACCAGGCTTCCCTTAGTTTATTATTCGCGTTCATTAATTGTTGACCCGGATAAATGATGTAAAATAAATTCAAAACTGAAACTACGAACCATACAATTGTTTCCAGAGCGTAAATTTTATCAAATGAGATAAAATACAAAAACTAGACCAAAATTATGCGATGTACATAAAATATGTACTGTAATAATAAGAAATAAAATATTCAACGTATATCTTAAAACTTCATCTCACCACAAATCCTGTCAAGCTTAGATCTATTATAATTATAATTATGATAATTAAGTATTTTTGATGAGTATAAAGTTGAAGTATAGTCAGCAACCTAAAATAAAAGAATTTCATTTCTGTTAACACTAATTGAAATTGTTATTTTTTTATTACTCATAACTCGATAGCTTTTTGATGTTTGTAAATGTTTGAACGAATTTTTTCATTTATAATAGCGACTTTTTCCTTATCTGTTAAATGTATGCAGCTGAATTCAATATCATTCTGAATTTGTATCAAATCTCGACTAAAATAAAAATTAATAAAAAGTGTTAAATGAAAAAGTTACTATACATTGAGGCAATGGCTTCTAATATGGAAATTTGAATGAAAAAATTACCTAATGATTATAAATAAGGCTATAATAAACTTGGTAAGAGTATATTGCAGATAATTTAGTGTGCCTAGTATTGCACCCAAGAATACAGAGCCCATGACAGTTGCAAATAACACAAAATAATAATTCTCTTGCACATATTTGGTAAAATACACGGGGAAAAACGTCTCCCTTTCTATAGTTTTGTTTACAAAGATCAAATTCATTACTTTATATTTTACTGCTGGGTGACATGAACATCCGACAAAAATAGCATATACGATTCCTTGAAAAAAAAATTGATTTTCTTTTGGATTCAAAGTCATGGAAAAAAAGCAAAACTATGCTAAATTAATTTAGTACGTACCTATATACAACACAGATATAGTAAAACCTTGTTTCAATTTTTCCATCACAATATTTCTCTCGTAATCTGTTTCCAATTCTTCCCATATCTCTAGCATTATGCTGGTAGCCAAATGGAGCTACTATGAAACGTATTAATTAAAGAAATTTTTTTACAATTGTTGAATAGATTATATGATTTACCAAATTCCCATCACGAAAACTCAAAACATAAATAAGCATAACACATACCAAGAATAAACCATAAATAATAGTCTCAAATAATTTTTTACTGGGCACATTTTTGTATATCATGCTAGATAATGCGATGAGAGCCTGAAAAGTTGATTGAAATTAAAATGTTTGTCTATGAAAGATATATTATACTTATTAAATGAAATTACCATATTCACTACGTAAAAACCTGAACAACTTAAAAACATACATCTTCCAAAGAACTTGAGTATTGTATTCATACGAGGCTCGATAAAAATCAAACGAAGTGATAAAAGTATATAATACGGAGAAGATGTAGGTTTGTAATATTTTTCGGAAAACCAAATTCTTTCGCGTACTCGTTTCGTCATTTTTCGCGCACTTAAGTAAAGTAATAAAATAATCGATGAATGATTGAAAATTGAATATTAATTTTACTGCTCAAAGTTTGATGCAAAACTAAACTTTAAAAGCTACGCAGTAGGTTGAATAACAACATATCATTAGCATTTAATATTTATCGATAGTTTTATATAAAAATTCGCATTGTTCATTTTCCATTTATTATGCGACTTGGAGGTTCTGGCATATTAAAAATTAATCGCGCCTATAGTAATACTACTTTATTTCTGCATATTATTGTTCGGCTGGGTTATAAAACGATCGAAATTTTCCTTCAATAAAATTCTACAAAATAATGCACAAAGTCAGGGCATAAATTCTGTTTTGACCACCACCGCCAGGTCGAAAGCTTCATAATTATGTATAAGTATTGCATTTCCGTCTCGATAACCCGCACTCGTCGAAATACTCTGCATACTATTTTTTTCGGACTCGACGTCGAGACGCCGATATATCATAATTTTGTCGTTTTAAATATTCATCAAGTGCATAAATTACATAAATATAGAACAAATCTGCGGGTACACTTATATTTCCATGGCATATTTTATAATACTCGTTATTATTTCGCTTATTACAAGTAACTTGCCAATTCGATATGTATATAAGTATTTTCCTAATTACATAATAATAAGCTACACACACAAATGTGTGCAGCTATTACTTAAGAAAACTCATTATTCCCCCAAAGGCAATGCATAAAATATTTTTATTTTCCTCGACTTTTTAAGGCATATTATATACGTCTATGTAAGGGAAGCTCAAAAAATCCATACACATACCTGCGTATCAACAATCATCGATTGAATTCCCCTCCGTTATACATATCCTTCTAACATGAATACGTGTGTGTAATATAACGCAATACTCGATTGTTCGCGCACATGCTCTGCTCACACAATTTGTCGAAAATTGCACTCGCTCGGCGGTGTATGTATACGTGGCACACATATTATGCATCTCGCGAAATAATCACGTGTTAGCGTCGATCTCCGCGGCGCAGCGTTTAGCATATTATACACACAAAAGGCGGTTATACAGATCGGTTGGCCCAGAGTCAGAAACAAGTGCGTCGATCGCTCGGCTCTATGTTTATGTATCCATATACATACTTACGGTTTATATAGGCGAGCTCTTTGCGCGCGCAGATAAATATCTCGACAAGTTCGAATTTCTTTCTTTATCTATGCGCCTGTGTACGCGGCTCGCGGATCTGTTTTATGGGTTGTACATGTGTGTGTGTGTCTGTGCGCGGTGTGCATATATAGGGGAGTGGTATGTGGATTTTGCAGCACGTGACCGATATTATTATACCTTTACTGCTACTACTGTTGCTGCTGTTGCTGCTGCCACAAGAGAGTACCTGTGCATTGAGGATCTATTTCACAAACGTTTAGCGCATTATTATAAAGCCATGGGAGCTGCTGGCGCGCATTGAGGAACGCGTGTCGCGCTCCACCTGGCAACTTACAACTTTTTCTCTTCTTTCACGGGCGTACATAGCACTACGTTATAGGATCTTAATTGGATGGGAGAGAGAGAGGAGGATATCGAAATGAAAAGATTTAAAAAAAGAAGGCAAGCGGTTTACGTTTATCTAGACTGAATTTATTCTCCTCATCTTTTTTTTCTTTCTTATTTCATTTTGGACCGAATTCCTGTTTCAATAATTACAATTAGTCGAATTACACGATTTTTTGTCGTATAAGTACGCGTACAAACTAAAAATACAAAAAAAAATGAGTCAATTTTTCGTTCGAACTCAACGTACATACATACACGCCGTACGTACAGGAGTACGCGCGTACTTCAATTAAAACATAAAAATGTAAAAACAATTTTTGTTCATTGCTCACAGAGGAATAGCTCGAGAGCTCGCGTATCGATAAAAATGATAAACCAACGGCCGAATCAAAATAAAATAATAAACAAGTATCTAGTAGATCTACGTTTTTTCACGTATACAATAATCGATCATCGTTCGTTTACCAATCTAACATTAAATAAGAAAATGAACAACTTAGGAACTACAATAATTAGCGTTTTGCGTTAAGTGTAATAAATCCGTGAATCAATTACTCTATTTATGAGGTGTGAAAACAAAAGTACATGATACTATCAGATGTTTTTGTGTGTCGGTGTACATACACGCAAAGACGTACGATATATATTATATATTTTGTTTTCCAGCCTCGTCGCTTAATCGGTCAAGTTGTGATCAATTTATAGGTCCTAACCTAGCCTTTATACATACATACATATTTACAAATATCAACATACGTAGTAGCTACGTAAATCTATACGTATCATACGACTCGGTCGAACCGTTATACGTATAGGCTTAAAATTGTTCCTTGTATACATGCTGTTCATTCCGTGTCAGAAGTCGATTGTTGCTCAATGGATGTCAGCGGTAGCTCGTCCTCCTCCTCCTGCTCCCCCTGCTCCCGATACGTCCATCTACTCGCTGCCGGCGACGTCCGCCTGTCGAAGTGAATGATGCTTCTGGGGCGTCCGATGGTTCTGCGGATTCCCGGCGTCGCGGGTCGTGGTCGCGACTCCGCAGATTGCGGCTGTGCGTCGCCGCTGGGAGAACAACGGGCTGCCGCCCTGGTGAGCGATCTCGTCCCCGAGGAGGGAGGGCACTGAACCAGCGAGATGTCTATGGTGTCGAGCTTCACGATCGACTTCTTCGGCGTCCCCTCGCTCGTCGACGGATTAGCAGCAGCAGCTGCAGCGTTCGACGGGGTCGACGGGCTTGGGTCCGCCGATGGGTCCGCGCCGATGTTCGATTGGCTCGCGGGAGAACCCACGGTCGCGGCGACGAACGGACATGAAGAATGATCCGTGCTCGTGCCAGGTTGAGGTGCGGATGGATCATCAGCGAGCGGCGACGGGTTGATGGTATTTTTCACCTGCTTGGATTGGGGGTTCGTGGTGTGCGATGACATGAGAGAGGGTAGGATGACACCTTTTGGGTAAAAATACGCGTTCGGAGAATCTAACATCATCTCAAGTGCCTTGGTCAACGACGATTGACTGATCTGATTTTTTTTGCTTGGGGTGCGTTCAAGAGAGGATAGGTCATCTTTTCTTTCTTTTGGGTAAAAATACGCTTTGTTAAATGTGTTCGAAAAATAAACTCAAAGTAAAGAGAAAAGGAAGAGTAGAAAACCTTTCGACCGTTTCGGCGAGTCCTGAACTTTCGGCGTTTTCGGAGACGAAACCGCAAGCGTCTCGGCCAACGGCGACGAGTTCTTCTTTTTTTTGCCTGGCGTTCGTTCGTGAGAGGATTGGTCACCTTTTAGGTGGAAATACGCGTTCGAAAATTAGTTCAAACAATAAATCGTAAAAATTCTCAAAGTGAAAAGAAAAGTACGCAACCTATTGGCATAGTCCGCTTCGGCGAAGACGTCACATTCGCATTCGTCGCAGTCGACGGCTCCGATTTCAGAACTGTTTGGCCAGGCGATGGTCCGAGAGAGGATGGCACACCTTTTGGTTAAAAATACGCGTTGAAAAATTAGTTTAATTGAAAAAAAACCGTAAAAATGTTCAAAGTAAAAAGAAAAATACGAAACCTCTTGGCTGGATCGGTACCGACGCAGACGCCACACTCGCATCCGCCGCGGCCGTCGATGTATACGATGGTGGTCCTTCATCACTCGGTATGTGGTTGGCGCTGCTGCCGCTGCTGATGCTGCTTCTGCGGTCGGTCGTCGATCCAGCGTAGGCGCCGATGCACCGTTGGTCCATGGCGCAGTACCTGGCCAGGTGTCCGACGTGCTGGCAGCTCGTGCAGCGCTGCTCCTCCGATCCCAGGTAAATCAGATACGGCCAGTCGACCTGTCGGCCCGTGATCCTGGCCGGGATCATCGGCAGTTGCTCGGGCGGCACGTAGAGGTGGCGCGCGAAGCCCAGCACGTGGCCGTACTCGGGCAGTTGGCTGTCCGCGCCCACGTGGACGACGTCCCTCACCTGGACTCCGTGGTGAACGGACAGGTGGTCGCGTATCGTTTGGTCCTCGATGAAGGGATAGACGTTGGTGGCCAGAACTCGGGCCAGCGGCTGGATCAGCGGCTGGACTAGCAGAGTGTGACCCTCGACGACGACGGTCCGGCCGTGCAGCGTCTGGGCCATCTGGGCGTCGCTGACGAACAGACAGACGCGATTCGGCTGAACGAGCGAGGCGTAACGGACGTGGGCCGGCCGGACGATGTTTCCCACGGTGGCGATGTACGAGTCGAGCTGGATGTCCGGGACCCAATCCAGGACGACGGCCTGGTTCGTCGTGGGGACGGGCGTGTGGCTGCCTCGCGCGAACTGGTGGATCCTCTGGCCCGCCTGCCTGGGCCGCCTCGTTACCCGATCGTTCGTTCGGGGCACGACGTCCGGCTCCGAAAACGCGTGTCTAACGCTGCTGCTGCTGCTGCTGCCGCAGGTGCCACTGGTCGACGATTGAGTTTGCTTGCTTGGATCCATGACTCGGTCGTTGAAGTACGGCGCGCGTTGAGAATAAAAAGTCCAGTCTAGATACGCGTGTGCGTTGGGCAGCTGTCGAGTCGATACTGTGCAGGGGACAGCGGAGAAGATTTGATTTTCCTTCCGGCGCGCTGACTATTATTTGGTAAATATGTACAGCGAACTAACGCGCCAGAACGCTACGTGTTTACTTCTCGCAGCTTTCCGGCGCGGGGGGACCTCGATGATTATGTCGCGTTATTATTACCGAACGATTTTCACGCAATTTTCAATTTCATTCATATTTCAAGGTGGGAATCATTGTTGTTGTGGTTTTTATTTTCGTTTTAATCCAAATCGTTGGGCTCCGAAAATTTACATTTTCATCGAAAAAATCGACATCAAATATGCCGAGCTAAATATCTCAAAAACTCAGTACGAAAAAGTGAACTTGGAAGTTTATTTCAAATCGATCATTTCCCTTCTCTCTCTCTCTCAAAATGTATAAAGTATCGTAGCGTCTCCGCACGTGAACGTGTTTAACTGTAATATGTAATCAAGGCAGGTAGTATATCATGTACTGCTGCTTACACGCGTCGATGTACACTCTCTATACACCATAGATTGATGCAGCGTAAAAAATCTTACTTCAGCCTTAAAACGTTGTTTCAATAGAAACACGCGCATTAAACGTATACTTAACATCCCGAATAAACTAACGCTGGAAATATTTTTTTATCCCCTATTAAGCGAATGAAATTATAAGCTAAGCTACGCACTTTAGCCGCTTACAAATTTTTCGCAGGCCATAACATAAAAGCCTTGTATCGTTTCTTTCTTTTTTTTTGTTATCAATCCTGGCAGTCATGTGTATATGTGCACGAAGCGATTTTCATGTACCTAAACTTGTTCTAATTTAGTAATGTTCTTGTTTCTTAACTCGAAGAGTATATATAAGTGTGCGTATGTGTGTGTGAGTGTATCGAAGCGCGCGTATACATACACGTCGTGTGCAAGTTTATTGAATAGCTTAACCGAAAGTAAACGTTCGCTCTGTCTCTATCTTTCTCTTTCTCTCTCTGCGCGACTGGTCTTTTACACTCAATTTACCACGGCACCGCAGCTAGCTGCTGCTGCTGCTGCTGTTCAGTTTTATCAAATTTTTTTCAAAGCGCCTGGGTCCAAATCGAATTTTCGAAACCCCCCATTGATAAATACGTATACATTATGCGTGTGTGTCCGTGTCGAATTGGTCCGCGCATTTTCGCACACAAGGTATAACGCATAAACACGTGCGAAATTAAAAGGATCGCGTAATCTATATATATACACATAATACGGGTGTTGCTGCGGGTATATATGTACGCGCGGCAATATTTCGCGCGCAAAACGAGTTCGAAGGCTAAGCCACCGCGTTTGTGTATGTATATAATGCGATTTGGGTCCATATAGCTGCCGCTGCCGGTTTGGCCTTATCGCGCGAAAGTTTATGGCTTACTTCGATTCTGCACTTGCTCTCTCTCTCTCTCTCTCTCTCTCTTTCTCTTATGAGAAAAGTCACACGGGCCTACTAACGTTAAAAAAAATAGAACACGCCGGAGAAAATCGAGGCCACGGTTTGCGTACGTTTGTGTGCATGGGCGCACGAGTGGAGCTGCAATTGTGTACTCCGAGAAAAGCTCTCGATTCGAAAGCTAGCCCGAAATTTTTTTCTCTCTCTCTCTCTCTCTCTCTCTGAATCGACGTGGGCCGCGAGACGACGAGATATATTGTTTCTATTAATATGCGTGCGCCTCGAAGAAGTTTCGACATGTATGTACATTGTCAATCGCACGCGCGCGCGTGTGTGTGTGGATATACGTGTATATAATGTACGCCGACACCCTTTCACCCACATATAATTATCCATCAGTTGTCAAATGTCAATGTTCCACGTGTGCAGCACATACACATATATATTCGTTGATATTTTTTTTTGACTTGTCTTTTTTTCATATACGCGAGTGTAAATATACCGAGTATAGGTGAACGACAGCGTCAAAAGCAACACACCCCGTCAACGCAGAGAACTATGAGGTATAGATCGCATGTGCACGTGTGCAGTGTATCTATTCCAACACTTTGAGTATTTCATCATCGCTCTCTCGTACTCTCGCGCTCTGCGTCGAAGCGTATTATATATAGGTGCATACGCGCTACCGCAGCCGCCGCGCTTTACAAGGCCGATAAATAATACTTTCGACACGGGACTTTGAAAAGGAGAGGAAGAAAAAAATTGTACTTTTAACCCGTTGCTTCTCTCGCTCGCTCGACGCACTCGCACGATTAGCGTATTTCGAGCTCGTACGAGCGTGATGTAGGCGAACAATATATGCCGTCGTGTTTGTGTGTGCATCAAGAGCAGCAGGAGAAAATTTTGTCTGTTGTGTGAATTCTAGATTCGATCGTAGAGGCTGCCTCGCCTTGGTTTGGCAAAAGTACTAGCTACGTACTTTTGATCATGATACTTTTGATACGGTCAAAAATTGTTATTATATATTTATTATTACATCAATATTATTACATAACGTATTTTATTATAAAAAAGATATTGAAACATTCATTGGCTTAAAACTACATGTAAAGAGATATTATCGCACTTTAAGCCTCCACCGCTAGATGGCGAGTACCTTGATCAGCAAATCTGCAAGTGGCAAAGTCGAAATAAATGTATAAGTTGTTCAAGCATGGTTTATTACGATAGATTCGATGTGAATTACAGTACCAGATTCGATCTCAGTCACTATCGCGTTGCCTGCATCTACGGCTGCGTGAACGTCGTCGAAAAATTCCTCGAGCTCGATCAGAAGCCGAATTACCAAACGTTATTGATCAGTCCCCTGCTGCACTTGGTTCTGGCTCACGACACGTGGGACGAGGCTGAACTGCTGCTGAGGAGAGGATGACCTCGAGGAGAAACGGACTATTCTGCACGTGATCAGCCAGATAAACAAGACTCGCTGCTACAAATTTACGAAGACGTTGTTCGAGATCTGCGATGAGAAAGGTCAGACGGTGCGGGTCGATGCTTAGAACAGGTCGGGCATGACAGCGTTGCACTTGGCTCTGATCGAGAGACACTGGAAATTGGCCGAATTGCTGCTGAGGAGAGGCGGGATCCGAACTTGGCCGACGCCAGAGGATCGACGCCTCTGCGCACGATAATTCATAAGAGGCAACGGAACGATTGCTTGATAAAGTTTTTCTTTCACGTCTGTGAGCAAGTAAAGCGACCAATGCAGGTCGACACCGTGGACGAGTCGGGTCGAACCCCGCTGCACTTGGCTCTGGAGTACAACGACGTAGAGCTGTTCGCGTTGCTGCTGAGAAAGGGTGCAGATCCGAACGTGGCCAACGCAGAGGGAGTGACACCTCTGCACGTTTGCCTTAAAAGTGCCAAGAACGACGGCTTGGTGAAGATATTGTTCAAGACCTACGAGGAAATGCGGCATCCAGTCACGATCAATGCCCGAGACAGCGCGGGCTGGACACCTCTGCAATGGGCCGTGGCAGGTGTCGTTCCGCAAGCGGTCGAATTACTCCTGGATCGTGGCGCCGATCTGTCGAGCTTCGTTTTCCCAACCGAGAGTCGCACCCTCGAGATTTTCTGCCTCGACGACGTTTGGAGTGACGAAAAGGATTTCAGCCGTAAATTGGCACTAGCGTCCGGTGCTCTGGCTGTAGCTGAAAGTCTCGAGAAAAGGGGCTAAGAATTGGAGCGAAGTGACGCCCTGGCCGAGAAACTGTCGAGAAGATTTTTCCGACGCTGGGCACTGGATCCTTTGATGGAGCTGACGCACTACCGACTTCCGAGTCTTTGTTGCGAGGCTATCATAGAGAAACTGATGAATCGAGATTTGTTTAATATTTGCTTGGCGTATGAAGGCCAAAACTCGTGATGGTCATTAGCATATTTACTTTTTTATTATGATTTTTGTTGTAATTTAAATAAAATGCTAATTAATTAGTAGCTGTAAATTTTTTTTGTATTTTAATTTCTTTTCAATTTCATGTTAACAAAAAATCATAAAGAACGTATTTTCCATTTATTCACTGATCGAGATGGAAGTGTGGCAAATGGACGCGATCGATCAAAGCTCGGTATACTCGAGATTAAACCATACTATAATGCAATTCGAGAAGATAAACAGACGCGGTTAATGGTCATTAGACGTTAATACGCGCTACTATGCATTAATGCTCGAGTCGAGTAATTGCGAAAAATTCACGTGATTTACGGATACAGTTTACGAATAGCTTTAATCAATATATATCCTTACTAAAGTGTAACGGAAAATTAAACTCGATACTTAGTTTTGGCTCTCTCTATCTCATCTCCGAAATTCGCGCAACTTCATTATAAAATTACGCGGTCGAATTGAAAAATATTGCAGTGCATAAACGAGATATAGAGTTGCCTACGCACGAGACGTGGTAGCACGTGAAAAAGAAAGGGTATGTATAATAGCGAGCTCGCGCGTGCGGCTAAAGGATAAATTCCAATGTTTTGCACGTGACAAGCCTCACGTGTTTATAAATATATTATATCGGGGTGTGTAAGAGTGTGCAAGTGTGTGTGTGGTGAACGGCGCTTTAAGCCTATGGTATCACGTGTGGCTCTGACTCGTTCGCGAGCACGGCCGACTCGCGAGAGAGAGAGAGAGAGACAATTTTCCTTTTCAAGTGCGTAGGATCAGATATGTGTATATAGTATTATTATACGGGCGGACACTTTATATTACTTTTTGTTGTTGTCGTTGTTGTCGTGGCTGCTGCTGCATGGCATATACGCGTTATCATTTCATTTTTCAATAGATATAATTTCGAGATCTGTGTACGATAGAAAATTGAGTCAAAGGGGATCGATATGGTTGTATTCATAAACGTCAATGCTACCTATGTTACGTTTCGCGATGACGATAATGCACATACACATACGAGATCAAGTATGCGGGATTGTTGTCGAGTTCGGTACCGAACGATTAATCTCGACTCGCGCTCAGAGCTTTATAGTGTTCCAACTTGATTTAAATCGCGCGCGGTGCACTTCGCATATATAGGATGCAAATGTATACATTTTTTTTTGCTGCTTTCGGGCTCCTAAGAAACCGAACAAGTACATTATACGAGTGGAATA